ATTATGCTAACAGAATGTTTATTTAATATTTGATTATACAGCTGATGATCGCCATAATCACCTATCTTATATTAAATAATCAATCTAATCGAAGTTAATCAATAATGGGTACTGCAATATAAACATAAGAAAAAAAAAGAAATTAAGTTTATTATGTTTTATTGATGTTATTAGAAAATGAATAGTAAGAATTTGACGAGAACTATCTTGAAAAAACTAACCTGTCTTCAGCAACTATTGAACTTATTCTATTGATTTATATATTCGAGAGTATACCTATGTATTTATTTTGAGAAATATTTTAGTTTCTCTATTATATATTTATCTTCCTATATGAAATATAAATTTGTTAACTTGATAAGTATCTATTATGTTAATCTTTGATGAAATATTTATTCAATATATTATTTCGAAGATTTTAACAAAAAATCAAATTGAATAAAAACAAGCAAGATTACTTAATTCAGTTAGACTTGTGTCCATTTGTTCAACAATTTTTCCATTATCAATATTGAATACAAAAAAAGAATATTTTTTTTCATCTTCTGTAGCCCAATATGTAACCCATAGACGTTTTTCTGAATCAATTGCATAGTTTGTTGACCAAAGATATTTATCAACTGGAATTTCACTTTTACCAATACGATTAAATTCAAGTTCACCTTTTTCTTTTATGATTACTTCAACTAAATACCATACACCATCATTTAATCCACCTGGATAAACTATAGAAATTAATCGATCTTTAACAGAATCATAATCAAGACCATAAATTGAATAATCTCCAGGTATTTGACTATGTACATCTAATTTTCCTGTATCAATATTAATACCGTAGAGTTTTGAATCTATAACATTATAATACAATCGACGTTTTGGTGCTAAAGCCATGATTACACTAAATGAACCAATTGGATATATTCCAATTGTTTTCATAAGACCTGTTGTTTGATTTATTTTAGCTACTTCTAAACCTAATGGATATTTGAAACTTTCTCTGATACCATAAATATTACCATTCTCATTTGTCACTCCAATATGATAAAATCCTGCATAATCATGTTTTTCAATTAATGATAAATTAAGTTTTATTGACTTTGTTTCAACATCAATCATTAGTAGAAAAAAATAAGGTATACCTTTACTATCAAAAGTATTATATGTACTAAGGTATGTACGATTATCTATTTTTGCAGTTGCTGATGGACTTTGAAATACTGAACCATCTAAATCTAATACATTATTATGAAACGATTTATTATAGAATTCGATAAATTTTGTATCGAGTGTTGTTTGATCTATTCCAAATAGTCGACATGAAAAGCTTGAAACAAACGAAATTATTGATAATAATATAATAATTCTATATGCCATGAATTTGAACAAATTTTTACTCATCTTAAATTCAGAATATAAACATTTTCAGTTATTAGAAGTGTGAGTCTCTCACTGTTTTATAAAACAAATAGTAGATATCAAGCAGTAAACACAACAGATATGCATTTACATGACATTGCAAATATAAAATGACAAAGCATTAAGTGACTATCGTTGTCATACAAGTCATTTTTATGAGATTCACTTATATTGTTTCAAATTCTTTTTAATATTTTATTACAGCAACAATATTAGTTTAAACGATTTAGTAACACAACCACTTCGCACGTTTAATAATTCTAAATGAAATTCTGGCCAATAGATTTTTGCTGAGGTATATTATAACTGTCATAGTCTGTTGAATCACCCATACCAGAACTGGATACACTATGATCTTTATTATTTTCATAAATTTCAGATATTCCTGTACTTCCTAAATATTAAGAAAAATAAATAATTAATGACATTCCAGAACGAGAAAAAAGAAGCGTTATGTACCGTTATGAGTACCAGAATCACTTCCTGATCTCACATTTGTTCGAGTATTATCCATCATAATACCTTGACCTCCGTAAATATTTCGTTCTTTGGTTGCATCGTCACTTGATTCATAAGAAGACATCGTTTATTTTTATGATATAGACACAATAATTGAAACATATTATTCTGTTATGTATTTATTTATATATCAAATTCAAGTCTGTGTTTGGGTTAAAGAGGACGAATAAAAACATGTCTCTTGCAGACATTAATTATAGACATTCTCAATCGATATTCATATTTGAACATATTAAAGATATCTCATTATTAGTAGAAAAATATCATTTGTTCAAAAACTATTAATAATCTTCAAGTGAGAATGTGAATGTTGTTGCTCTTTTTAATTACATAACTCACACCACACACTCTCTTCTGAGCCCTCTAACCAATGACGAAATCCATTATGGTTGCTTTTCTTTGATATCCATCCTCACCCCAGGCTTTCGAATGTAATAAACGTATTCCCATATAAATACACGTATTGGGATTACTTAACAGTTTTTTGTCAAACAGTTTATCAAAAGATTTTGTTAAAACTTCGAACGTACCTGAAGTCAAATGAAGCTTGTGAAACATACAAATTTAAACAAGTCTTCCCATCACATGGATCACCAGATCTTGACTTATTATACATAGAGACTTTTCAATACACATGAGATTTTAATTCGCTAATCTTTATTCTAATACTTTTCATTGTAATTGCAAAGCTTTCGTCAGTGTTTTAATATATTAATAAAATAAACACGAAACACATCAATAAAAGCAACCCTGAATTTCGTTTGTTTAAAATAATTTTTATTTAGTATAATCTTTTTCGAAAACCTTCAACCTATTTCGATAGCAAAGTTAGTAACTAAAAGCAATAATTGAGATTAGCGGGTTGATTTTGTTTTCTTCGTCAAGAGATGAGTTAATCTACTTTTCATTCGATTTACACTGATGACTTTTGTTTCATTCAAGTAGCTCGCCCATACGCTTTTGAAGTGTGTAATCAAATTCTTGGTCATCGAAACAAAATATGATAAGTGCCTTTTCAATAAATTGCATGACATGATATTCGGGAGATCATTAAAGATAGAGAAGAAATACCGCGTTATTTTCTAGTGCATTAATTAGGTGCTTTGTACCTGTACGTCCTATAGTATTGTGTTTGAGATTAAGTCTAATGAGTGTGTATGTTAAGAGGCAGAGATAATTTTATCAGCAAGGTCTAGATCAAGGAAGGAGATTACCCTGTTATTTCGTAATGCATCCGCCACATATTATGCTCCTACTTGCTCGATACTATTGCTTTCTACGTTTAGTGTGGTGCGTGTCTGTGTGAAAAAATACACATGGTCACATCAATATGATTATGATAGAAAAGAGAATCATGATAGTGACATATTCGATGTAGCAATATTAGCGATATTAGGATAGAGAAAAAAAACTATTGTATTATTACGTAATACGGCGGCCAAAAATCTTATTCCTGCTTCTTTGAAATCATTACATGGAAGGTTGAGTGTGAATAGCGTTTGTACAAAACTGTAGTGATGTTGATATGACTTAGATGAAGATAGGAAACAGGGTTACTTTATTTTCTAGTTATGCATCAGCTAGATATTATGCATTTTCAAGGATGATCTGAGTGTGTTCGAGATTTAGTGTGATGAGTGTCTGTGTGAAGTAGTTAAGATATTAATGTCGAGATGATCAAAACCACAAAAGAGGATTACCGTGTTACTTCTTAATTTATCAGTCAAATGTCATACTTAATCATATATGTAACCGAAATATTCGAGATCGAGTGTAGTGAGTGTCTGTGTGGCAAAGTGAATATAATGGTAAGACCAGGATTAACATAGAGAAAGCCGATTACTGTCTTATGACATAACGCATCTGCCAGACATTTTTCTTCTATAGAGCCAATGCTACTATTAAAAAAAAATAATACTAATGAGCGTCTTTGTGAAAATGTTGATATAATTAAGATCAAGATAGAGAAACTTACTCTGTTATATGATAATGCATCGGAAAATTATTGGAATCCTTTATATTCAATTTTATTGAGATCAAGATTGAATATGATGAGTGCCTATATGACAAGATGAAGATCGTGATATGAGCTAGATCAATATTAGGAGAAAGATTCAATTTACTATTCTCTTAAAACAATCGCTAGATATTCTGCTCTTTCATCTTCCATTTTATTTCTGAATAGATCGAGTATAATGAGTGTCTATATCAAAAAGTGAAGATCGTTTTTGCAACAAGGTCAGAATAGGAAACGAGAATCACTGTTATTTTGCAATGCATTCACTATATATTGTGTTTTTGCATGCCCGATGTCATTGTCACGGAGATTTAGAGTGATGAGTATCTTTATAAGAATTTCAGTTAGTGGTAGTGCCGAGATCAAGTCAGCCAAAACATATTCACCCTTGGTATAGGTGTGGGTGTGGCTGTCGGTTTAGCTGTTCTCTAATTAACACACACACACACTCGTTTGCTATTCCTTCAATTCTAAATTATGACACTAACAAAAAAAATTCTCGCAGTCGGAACATGTTTGTATAATTATAATGATTTTCTGTTTTGACCGCAAAGTGGTTTCGTTCATGTTCAGTTAATTTTGTTTTTGCAGAACGAAATGTATCACGAATTGATTTGATATAAAGACAGAGATTCTATTTTAGTGGGTGTGGGTATTGGTACCGACTAGACTGGTTGTTCACATCCCACTGGATGATGGAAATGAATTACAAAGGAATTCAAAAAATTCAATTACAAAATAATTGGAAATTTTTATATTCTACCAGGATCTACTAGAACCTCCAGGATCTGACGGGATTTATTAATTTCTACTACGGTCTCGATGTGAGTTCTACGAAGCAGCTTACATAACGTTTCCTTCTATGTGGGTACCGAAAAACTCTAGTAGACCCTGGTAGATCCTACTAGATTCTGCTAGACCCTTATAGTTCCTATTTCAAAGTAATGGTTCACAAAAAAAGAATTCTAATAAGGATAAAAATGCAAATATTGGTAATTCTAACAGAAATAATATTCAGAATTTTTCTTAGTTTTTATGAAGATATTGAATTATTTTGTAATTGATTTACGTCCTGAACTCTCCCACCCACATCCTCGATTGAAAGAATTGCAATATAGAATCTGAACAAGTTTTGTTTTTTTATAAAAATATAAAATAATATATTGTTCAATTATTTGAAGGTCCATGGTTGATGAATAACTATTGAATTCAAGTGTCTAAATTAGATTTTTAAAGTATAACATTTTTTTTGTAATGAAATTTCTTAATAATTCAAACATTCATAATGAACAATAGTTCAGAGTTAATGATTAATTTATTAATATATTAAAGGAAATAATCATCATTACTTATTTATGTTTAATTATATATTTTTAATTCTCAAAAATATTCATATATCTATTTTATATTAATAAAATAATAAGTATTTTAATGTATGTATATAATATAAGTATAATTCTTATATGGGTGTGGGTTTGGGTGTGGGTTTGGCTGTGGGTTTCGGTTCATCTTGAGATGAAAGCAACGCTGATGCCCATAGCTATCCAACACT